CCACCGTTGTGAGTAGCAGCTCCCGGAACATCTGTGCTAATCAACCTTGGGGCTGCAGGGCCACCTGCTCCAGGACAGCTCCAAGGAGCCAGCAGCAGAGGGGGACACAGCACAACGTGGGCTTGGAGCAGCAGTCAGGGCACCTTAGCAACACCCAAGAGGGGACACATGTTGTAAGAAATTAGCTCCTAGCAAACAAGAGTGCTGTCCCTCGACATCCAGCCTCTTCTCTTCAAATGCAGGACCACACCACATGGTCTCGCAAACCCTTACAGCCTGCTGGAAAAAACCTCCCCTCTGCGGCTAAGCGGCTCCTGAATGCAAGCTTAGTGGATGTAATTAGATTCACAAGAGGGTTTAGAGCTGCCAGCAAAGAGGCAGGAAGTGACATGAATCAACCCTATCCACGATTTGGCCCCCACAAAATGACTTGCAACACATGACCGTTCAAGAGAAACTGCCCAGAGTGGGTTCCATGACAAGGTGACAGGCGGATTTTCTGTAAACAAAACTAATATTATAATGCATATTTGGGGAAAAAGCCAAAAGGGTAATTGCAAAGCTTTAGAAAATAATTTATGATGTGATATTTAAAAGAAATTTTCCCTAGGGTGTTTGAAATTATAGGTACTTTTTAGAAGCTGAACTTAACAGCCATTTGCCTCTGAAGGGAGAAAAATGGATGACTCTCTCCCCAGAGCTGTTAATGCAGATTTCAGAGAGAAGACAGCAACAGGCAACAGCCACGGTCCCTGGCACCGAGTGGACAGGATGAGCCCAGCTAAGCGAGGAGCCACCGTCCCCTTCTCAGTCCTTCCCCACCCTCCCAACTCTGCTCCCTCTCCTCCGGAGCAGCCTGAGGGCATCAGGCAGACCTCCTTTTTGTGCTAACCCAACTGGGTTAAGTTAATGAGGAAAATGCCAAAGGGCCACCCAGTTTCTGGCCTTAACCTTCCCAAGAACTTGTGCATAAGGCTAGCAAGTGGTAGACCTGCTGCAAATGCCCGGTGAAATGGCCTGTGGCTCTGTGTGAAAATTCCACAGCCCAGATCTATTCAAGACCTGCTCAGGACTCTCCAGGGGTGGGCCTGGGCACCCAGGAAAACAGTGCAGAGGAAAAAAACTGGAAACACACGCACACGTGCGCACGCGCGCACGCACACGCGCACACACACACACACACACACACACACACACACAAAGGCTACACGTCTGCCCTGAACTTTCCTGCAAGGAGCACTTCCCCAGCCAAGTAGAGGCGGAACAACAAACCACCTGGGAAGAAAGAGAAAAGCAAAACTGCCAGCCTCATCCTCTCCTCCTGACCTAACCGAGAGATCTGAGTATCGGTCAGCACCCCTCCCCTGACATCTCGGGCCGTGGATGCCACCTGGGCCTCACAAAGAAGAACATCCGTGCACTTGGTAGGGCTGACTGTTACACGCTCTTTGTCTCCAGCTCCCCCAACGCTGGGCAAGAGGAAGCTCTGGCCCTCATTTGTCTGTGGAGATAGTGATCCGCCTGTCTCCTCCTGCATCGCTTTCCCAGCACCAGCTTCTCAACGACAAGGTCCGCGTTGCCCATGCCTGTGAAACAAGATGCCACCACTTTGTGAAAGTGGCCCATCGCAATCCTATCCTGGCCACCTGGGTCCCCTGGTCCCCACACACACACAGATAAAACGAGCCTACAAAATAAGACGTGTAGCAGCTGTCATTACAGGGAGGGGAGTTTATGAACCACTATTCAAATGATGTTTAAAAAACCACAGAGAGGCCAGGTGCGATGGCTCATGCCTGTAATCCCAGCACTTTGGGAAGATCACTTGAGCCCAAGAGTTCGAGGCTACAGTGAGCTATGATTGCACAACTGCACTCCAGCCTAGGCAAAAGAGCAGGAACCTGTCTCAAAAAACCATGGATTCCTGCGCTTTACACTGAGATGGATGTACCTCTTTCCCTCATTACACTTTTGCAGATGGGGGCAGACAACTGCAACAAGTCAAACAAGGCTTGGGCGAGCTAGTTTACCATTTGATCATGCTTTTAAGCAGAGCAATACAGAATATGAATATGTTGGTGTCTCAATCTATGAACTACCTGCAGAGTTCTTTTCATGAACTAGCCACTTGTAAGGGTACACGCTCCATCCTGGAGCTCTACATAAAATGCTAGAAAATGCTACCTAATCCATAGAGACAGAAGGCAGATTAGTGGTTGCCTAGGAATGGAGAAAGAGGAGGGCGGGGAGATTTAAATAGAGATTTAAATTTAGATAGAGAAGAATATGTGTTCTGGCTTTAAGAAGAACAATTTTGAAAGCACCCATTGGTGCTTTTGTAATAAGGAAAACCACATAAGGGTAGCTGGAGTCTTAGAAGTCCTATGCACATTTGGTCACAGAAGTCTTCCGTGTTGTGTGTTGTGTGAGAGCAGAGGAAAAACAGCTTGTGGGTTTTTTTCCTAACACAGTTATTGAAAGTGTGTTTGGAAATAAAAATTTGTAAATAAACTCTGCTGCTTTATATCTCGTTACACATATTACTTAAATAAAATTCCATCTAAACCACATTATCATTTTGTCCACATCTCTCATTTAAAGGAAAGTGGGTCTGCAGAACACAAAATGGGGATTCTACACAGTGGCTCCCGGAGATCCTTCAGGGCAAAGTTTAATCCCTTTTCTCAAGAGTCTTTTAAGTACCTACTCAGTGAAACCAACCAGCAGATGCCCTGAGGCTTCTCTCTCTCCTCCCATCAACCAGTTCTCCTGTGGCATGGCTTTCCTTTGAACAGATATTAGACTGTCCATCTTTATCACTAAATATGTACTTCTAGCTCAAAAAAAGAATCACATCTACCATTCTTCTAAACACATGGAACGATACCTGACTTCACTCTCGTAACTACGGAAATGCAAATGTAAATATAAAACCATATTTCACCTATCACATTCACAGAGAATACAAACAAACAAACTACAAATATCCTATGCTAGAGATGATGTAAAAGGGGTCTGAGAAACTCAGAAATGTCTCCGAACATTCACAACGCACACACCTTCTGACTTAAGAACTCCGATGCTAGGAATTTCTATGCATAGCTATGCCCTGGTGATACAAAGTTGGCCAGCTATGCTGACTAACTAAGCTGGTGTCTCCGTCGAAGAAGAGAAGACAGACAGTAAGACCACAAGCACAGCCCAGTGTTTTGGGGGCTCTGGGAGCCCAGAACGAGACAGTACAGGAGACAGAAGAAAAGGCAGTTGCAGTCAGCCTTGGCAGCGGGCTGATGACCGCCGGAGCCAATTTATAACTCCTCGTCTTACCTCTGCAGAACAAGCTTCCCTCACCACCACCAGCATTCCACTAAGTTAACTGAATCGTGTAAGAACAAACGTGCTGCTATAGGAGGGTTACGACGGTGATCACAGAGGAACCATAACACAGTGTCGTGGTGCCTCTCATGCCCCACCCTCCCCAATGGCTCAGAAACCACCATTCTGAGATTTTACTTTCTGATCTACAAAGAGTTGTTAAAAGGGTGCTCAGGAATGGCATGTACCACTTACAAATGACTTTGCTAAATTCATGAGGCAAAAAAATGTTTTTCCTTCCTTTTTTTTTTTTTTTTTGAGACAGGGTCTCGCTCTGTCACCCAGGATGGAGTACAGTGGCACCCTCACGGTCATTGTAACCTCGACCTCCCAGGCTCAAAGAATCCTCCCATATCAACCTCTCGAGTAACTGGGACCACAGGCGCGCATCATCATGCCCAGCTAATTTAAAAAAAATTTTTTTAGAGAGATGGGGTCTCACTATGTTGCCCAGGTTGATCTCGATCGAACTCCTGGGCTCAAGTGATCCTCCGGCCTCGGCCTCCCAAAGTGTTGGGATTACAGGTATAAGCCACCACGTCTGGCCCTTCCTCATTTCTGAACCTTTTCTTTGGATACTGTTTTGGTACCTCCAATCACCTCCACTTCAAAAAAGCCTTTAGGTATTTGTCTTGGCTGGTTTGAATGCAGCGGTGTTTACAAATAATTAGTCACAACCAGTTACAGATTTCTTTGTTCCTCTCCACGCACACTACTTCACTTGGCCAGACTTGAAAAAAAATTTTTTTTCATAAAAAAGGAAGATATCTTCATGTCTGTACTAAAAATGGAAATAAATGTGAGTCAATTAATTAAAATTTACAGCCAGCCTTCAAAAGAACATGCTAATTTTGCCAAAAAGGATGTGTAAGCACTTTCCTATTAATAAGCCAACTATAAAACCAAGGTGGAGAGTTATTTCTCTTTGAAAGCGACATATCACCAACACTCTTGTGGTACACAGGAGTATTGCTTTAGTTCCTGTATATAAAAGCATCATGTCCCCAAGTTCACTTTCTAACCTCTTAAAACCATCCAAGCTCCAAGTGACATGTAATGTACAGGAATAGACAGCCAGCTCCCTCCAGACCCTCCCTCCAGACCTCAGCACAGCGCTCTAAACCCTTGGCGACTGGCATCTTCGTGACAGTCACTCTCTTTCTAGCACGAAAACAGAAAGCGCAGTGGCCTGCCACCTTGTGTACAAGACAGGCAACAACATGTCACCTCACTGGGAGCATAAGCAGAGTTTTCTGCCTGCCAAGAAAATAATCTACATATTGCCAAAGGAAAGATACGAGTATTCAAATCCACTTAATACATTAACATTTATAAAAATCAGTTGTAATAAAATTAGGAACTGTTCGGACACTTGATGCTGGGCCCACGCTTGGCCGAGACATATAACTCTAAGTGCATGTCCCAATCGAGATCTCTGCAGTGATGTGGGTAGGACAACTGGACTCCCACTTTGATGTTCCACTCACTCCTGTGTGTCGTGGTAAATGTGGGAGGAAGCTCAGGTCTTACCTTTTGACGACCAGTTTCAGGGTCTTATGGGACCCCTTCACCAGGCAAATCGCTTCCTGTCTAAACCCTGAGAGACCAATGTCATTGATGCCGACGATCTCATCTCCAGCCAGTAACTTGTCGACCGCCGCGGCTTTACTGCCCTCTTCAATCTGTAACAGAGAAGCATATTCCATGAGCCTTCCACGAGCAGCAATTCCTGAGGCAGAGCAGGTCCTTGGAAAGCAACAGACATACCTCAAGCTTGGCGGGAATGGGGCCCAGGGGGCTGACCTTATTACCACTCAGGGGATCAGGGATGTACTATACCCCTCACCCTGGCCTGCCTTCCCTGGACACGACTCCTGTTCATCCAGGGAATGGGAAAGCCCGGAAACACACACAATGGAAAACAGGGGACCTGAAGATACTGATTCATTTTCTAGATTTCCTTTAACCAGACAATAATTTTGGACCATTTTAAATTATTTATTAATGATTTCTCATACATTAATCCTGGAACTAGACTGTTTTTGTAACAACTTTATAGAAATATAATTCAAATACCATATATTCACTCAAATAAAGCATGGCTTTTAGTATTTTCAGAGTTGTACAACCATCACAACCATCAATATTAGGGCATTTCCCCTAACCCCGAAAGAAACCTTGTGCTCATTACTACTCAGCTTCTAATCCCTCCAGCCTCTGGCAACCACAAATGTACTTTCTGTGTCCATGAATTTGCGTGTCCTAGACAGTTCATATAAATGGAGTCATACAATATGTGGCTTCTTGGGTCTGGCTTCTCTCACTTAGCACGATGCTTTCCAAGTTCACCTACATTGTAGCATGTAGCAGTACTTCATTTCTTTTTATGGCTGAATAACATTCACTTGTATGGAGAGACCACATTTTATCTATTCATCAGTGTCTACTTTTGGCTATTATAAAGTGGAATTGCTGGGCCCTATAACTACATTTAACAACCTGAGGAGCTTCCAGGCTGTTTTCTACAGTAGCTGTACTGTTTTTACATTCCCACCATCAGTGTATGAAGGTTCCAATGCCTCCATATCCTTGCTAACACGTATCTGTTTTTTGTCATAGCCCTAATCTGATTACTATACCATGCTGTGTATGTTAAGATATTCACTACTCAGTGCTAAACACAGTATCCTCCCAATGTGTATTGACTGACTCCCTAACAGCCTGAATGCCATCCATTCTATAGCTTTTTTTCCCTTTTTTCTTTTTTTTGAGACAGAGTCTCAACTCTGTCACCCAGGCTGGAGTGCAGTGGTGTGATCTCGGCTTACTGCAACCTCTGCCTCCCAGTTCAAGCAATTCTCCTGCCTCAGCCTCCTGAGTAGCTGGAATTACAGGCGCCTGCCACCACACCCAGCTAATTTTTGTATTTTTAGTAGAGACAGGGTTTCACCCCATTGGCCAGGCTGGTCTCGAACTCCTTTGACCTTGTGATCCATCCGCCTGGGCCTCCCAGAGTGCTGAGATTAGAGGCATGAGCCACCGTGACCGGCCTATATTCTGTAACTTTTATTAACCTAGATTTTCCTATACAGTAAAATGGAACTCAACAGCAATTCATTCCAGCTAATCTGCCCATTTTCTGGCACACTGGCCAGTGAGCCAATGAGCCAGCTGCTTTCTTTCCCCCTCCCACCCCCCAAAGTTTTACTGGAATACAGCCACACCCATTGGTTTACATATTGCTACAGGGCAGAATTGAGTCGTTTGGCCCACAAAGTCAAAAATATTTACTACTGGGCTTGTTCCAAAAATGGTTTGCCAACTCTGTTTTACACCAAAAAGCTTTAAAACTGCTAGGAAACCAGTAAGAAGAAATCACTGGTTACAAGCATATCAGCATACAGCTTTGAGTTCACTGCTACCCAGCTGCATGCCATGGCTAACCCGAGAATAACTTCCAAGAGTGAGCCTGAAGCTAAAGCCGTCCATTCTTCTGGCAGTTGAAAAGCTAGGTGCTTTGGATTCAAGCTTTCTTCTTGGGGTGGGGGGCCAGGAGAAGCTAGGTGCTAAGTAACTTACAATGCCTCAATTCTGAAGCTGCATATTTTCCTGAAATCTCCACCTACATCTGAGGACAACTGAACTCTTGTGAATAAAGCAATTATTCACTGCTAGTCAATACCATAAACAAAATTTTAAAACCACTCCTAACAAAAATACGCAGCAATTTTTTCAGTCACCAACTGGTTCCAAAAGTTCTAGAGGATTTTATCCCGATGTCTTTATAGACTGTAAATAAGCTTCCACCCGCCAAGGTTGCACACACAGCCAAGGAATAGCAAAAGGCAGGCAATACCTGGTGGAGACTGGGTTTCGACATGCCCCAACAGGGAGACCAAGGGGCCGGCCAGGAGGCTGGGGATCTGGAGCAACCCTCCCCCAAGGTTTCTGCACAGAGGAAAGGCTCCTTCCAGGCTGTGCCTCAGGAGGATGGATCAGAGATGAAGGGCGCTATCTGTTTCTCTAGGTCACTGCTAAGTGCTGTGGCTGGAATGACCCACTCTCATCTGTATTTCAATGCTAGAAAGCCTACATGTTGACGTGGCTGACTTTGCTCATTTCTATTCCCCCTGAACCAAATAAGAGTATCCAGGCAGGGTGGGAAAGACAGTAAAAATGAGGTGCGTATAAGGAGGCAAGTTACAGACATCTGGGGGTCCAGGGATTCCAAGGAAGCTCTTGGCATCCTGGAGCTGGTCTTTTGTTTTGGAGACTTCAGGTCTTAGTGACTTTTCTTGCCTGTCAGGAATTCCACCTTGTTGAAAGACCGCAGAAGTTTTTTTCTATCCATGTGTTATCCATGGCTGCTAACTCCAGACCCTAAGACTTCTGGTCTCTTTTTCCTCATTACCACAATAAAAAGTTATGCATTCCTCAATATCTAAAAACAAGGGGCTGAGTGCGATGGCTCAGGCCTGTAATCCCAGCACTTTGGGAGGTCAAGGCAGGGGGATTACCTGAGGTCAGGAGTTCAAGACCAGCCTGGCCAACACGGTGAAACCCTGTCTCTACTAAAAATACAAACAAAAATTAGCTGGGCATGGTGGCACATGCCTGTAATCCCAGCTACTCGAGAGGCTGAGGCATGAGAATTGCTTGCTCCTGAGAGGTGGAGGCTACAGTGAGCTGATATCATGCCACTGCACTCCAGCCTGGGTGACAGAGTCAGACTCTGTCTCAAAAAATTAAAATTAAAAAAAAGTAAAATAAAATCAAGGAAACTATTTTGACCCACTATAAAAGTGATATATGGTGAGCTTTAAAACTGTGTCTAGGGCTGAGAGCAGTGGCTCATGCCTGGAATCCCACCACTTTGGGAGGCCAAGGTGGAAGGATTGCTTGAGTCCAGGAGTTCGAGACTAGCCTGGGTAATATAGCAAAAGAAATCCTGTTGCTACAAAAAAAAAAAAAAGGTAAAAAAATTAGCCAGATATGGTGGCACCCAGCTACTCAGGAGGCACCTAGCTACTCGGGAGGCACCCAGGTACTTGGGAGGCTAAGGCAGGAGGATCACTTGAGCCTAGAAGGTTGAGGCTGCAGTGAGCTGTTATCATGCCACCCTACTCCAGCCTGGGTGACAGAGCGAGACCCTGTCTCAAAAAAATAAAAAGGCCAGGCATGGTGGCTCACGCTTGTAATCCTAGCACTTTGGGAGGCCAAGGTGGGTGGATCACGAGGTCAGGAGTTCGAGACTAACCTGACCTAGATGGTGAAACCTCATCTCTGCTAAAAATACAAAAAATTGGCCAGGCTTGGTGGCGCATGCCTATAATCCCAGCTACTCAGGAGACTGAGTCATGAGAGTCGCTTGAACCCGGAAGATGGAGGTTGCAGGGGGTCGAGATCATGCCACTGTACTCCAGCCTGGGCGACAGAGTGAGACTTCATCTCAAAAATAAATAAATAAATAAAATTAAAATAAAAACAAAAATAAATGAAGTTGTGTCCTCTCCACAATGACATGTTTGAATTTAAGTATCACAGGAAAATCTTTAGGCAAAACCATGAAGACTAATGGCTTGTAGGGTCTTGGGACAGCTTTTGAAGCAGCACTTCTTCAGGGTGACAGTTCCGTGTCTGACTCAGTGGTGACTGGGTGGGGTTTTCGGTGGGAATGTGTCTCATTCCCACAAGCGCATGTGTAACAAGTCCTGCAAGACTCTCAGAAAGGGCTGTCAGTTGCTCTGACTTCACTGCAAAGGATAACATGATGCTGTTTCTTCTCATCTGCAAAGATTCCTAAAGCTTCCCCTCTAGATACGAAGGCCGCATTCCACAACATCCATCTGCCTTCCCCCACCACACTCCACCTACATTTCCCAGCAAAAATGTGTTTTGGTTTGGGAGATAAAGTCTTCATTTTTTCCCCTGGCTTCCTTGTCCAGAGAAAGTACCTCTACATGTTTATGGTGCTATGGGGAAAGTAGTCAGGAAAGCAGCAGCAGCTTTGAAAACCTCCATTCTATTCTCTTTGCCCCACTGAACTTCTCAAGTTTAGTAGAATTAATTAGGCTTAATTAAGGACTGGGCCTGTGGCATCCCTAGTGCCGCATGCATGATAGCATCACGATGATGCTCATTTTGTCATAGTCCCAGGTCTACAAGCTAAGGAAGCACTTGGCACTGCACCGATTAGTGACAGCCGCCTAATGTCTGTGGAGTGCCAGAGCCACAAATGAGGCAGTTCTGTCCTGTAGTACTTAGGAAAAATCTTTGCTCTCGCTTGCTCTAACCTCAAAAAGTCCCTCTACCAAAAGCTAGGAAGTCAATCACCCCCGACCCACGACGATGCCAGCCCAGGTGCCATGCTATAGGCACTCACAGACCCAAAGCACCAAGTCCACACACCCAGGCAAATACTGTTGTCTTAGTTTTTAACTGATATTCTGTATGGAAACTCACTCTTATGGCCCTGATTAGAGTTCAATGTCTCCTAACGTGCAGAATGCCTCATTGTTCTCATGGAAATGTTTTCTCTAGGAAAAGCAGGAAAAAAACAGTTAATCAAAGTCTTTTATGGAACAAAGTTGTTGATACTTCATTGAAGAGACAATCCCAATGAAGTCCCATGAGGGTGAAGGCATCCTGAGTGCAGCGGGGGAGCAGGCTCACGCTGAAAAGAATGGGGTCCCTGCAGTGGCAGCATGAGGGGGATGTGATCCTCTGTCTCGGGTGGAGATAAGAAGGCCTCCAAATAGAAACGGCAACTAGAAAAGGCTGGGAAGGCCTTCCGCAGAGGCTTCCCCATGAAGAAGGGCGTGGAGGCAGGAGGCCTGAGGCATGAGTGTGTGTGCGGGTGCGTGTCTGAAGATAGGGCAGATGTGGGGGAAGATGAGGACCTCGCCCTGGAATGGGAATCTGGACGCTGACCTGCAGGCAGTGGGGGCCCAGCGAAGGCAGCCATGGCAGTGGGGGAGTGAACTCATCACTACAGCAGCTGCTTCTGGAAGACTCTTATAGTCACACACAAATGAATTTCTTTGGCAATAAGAATAAAACGACAAGGACAACGACCCTGATGGGCACCACCACTACATCTCTGCAGAACTCTTGGGGAAAGAGGCAGAGAAAATCACGGGAGTAATGCACCAGCTCCAGAGGCTGGGAAGGAAGACCTGGCCACGCCACCTGCCATAGGGTTTTCAGCTTGAGGGATTTGGAAAATCACAGTGACCAGAAATCAAAATGAGAAGAGAAAAAGTAGCTGTTTTTTTTTTTTTTTAAGTCCAGTATCATATTTCAAGGGCTATGAGTCACACCTGCAATTGATCAATTCTGACCACCTCAACAATGCTTCACTTTCCAGAGATAAAGTATCTGCATGACAAGGACAAGCACTGAAGTCACCTCTCAGTCTGCTTAATTTATTGAGCTCGGCGTCTTCAGAGAGAAAATCTGACTCATCCAAGAAACAGGCACGTTGGGAAATAGATGAGAACACCTTGTCCACACTGAACGTTCTCTGTGAGACAGACTTGTGCTCCGATAACAGGGAAGCCCCTAGAAGATGGAAATCCCCACCCAAATGTGTTGAGACTTAAAAAAAAAAAAAAAAAAAAAAAAAAAAAAAAATTCCTGGCCCCTGCTGCGATCCCAGAGGCCTGAGCGGGCGGGGAAGGGAGGTGCGGCGCATCCAGATTCATAAGGCTTTTGGGCAGCAGGCACCAGGCGCCGCCAAGATGCCCAAGGGGAAGGTCAGGTCAGCCCCGGGGTGGCCAAGGCAGAGTCCAGAGGTCTGCCAAGCTGTCGGCTCAACCTGCTTCTGCAGAAGTGGAAATGAAGCCCAAAAAGGCAGCAGAAAAGGATAAAATCCTCAGGGAAAAAAAACACAAAAGAGAAAAGGGGGAGCAAAGGGCAAATGGGCTGAAGTGGCTCAGCAGGAACCTGAAGACTGACCCGCAGGAAGCAGAGTCTAAATGCAAGTAGAGTCCAGGCTCCCAGGAAGCAGGAGGGAAAGAAACCTGATTACTATCATATGCTGCTCAGCGGCCCCCGTCTCCCTTCCCACATATGCCAGGGGAATACTGTCAGCAACTGTTTTGTAAATGCAAGTTTTTTAGTAGTTCTGTAAACATTTTTTAAGGACAGAATCCCACCTGATTACATTTTTTAAGCATAAATGCCTTTTTTTAAAAAGAGGTGAAATCATTTGCTGGTTGTTTTTTGGTATATATTTTGAGAGGCTTTGACTGTCTTGAGTGCCAGGCTGGGCGGACAGTTTTCATATCCTACAACACAAAGCATACTGACTGGCAATTTGCAGTCATGGTCATGCATTTAACATGTCTTGAGCAGCTTAAATTACTTATACTCATAGGTTTGTTTTCTGTTTTTGAGACAGGGTCTCACTCTGTTGCACAGGCTGGAGTGCAGTGGTGCAATCACAGCTCACTGCAGCCTTGAACTCCCAGGCTCAAGCGATCCTCCTGCCTCAGCCTCCCAAGAAGGTGGGACTACAGGCACATGTCAGCACACTTGGCTAGTTTATTTTTATTTTTATTTTTTGTACAGACGAGGTCTCAGCATGTTGCTCAGGCTGGTCTCAATCTCCAGGCCTCCAAGCGATCCTCCTACCTTGACCTCCTGTTTGGTCGCCCAAAGTGCTGGTGTTATAGGTGTGAGCCTTTGGGTTGTTTTTTAGTAGAACTGTTTTGGAAGGAAAGGGACTCCTTGATCCTGACTCTCCCTGTCAGAAAGGCATGCACCCAGGAAGTCTTCCGGTCATGGCAGTCGGTTTTCCTAATCGCTCTGTTAATGTGCTATGAAAGGCTGAAAACTTGAGTATGCAGTGTTGCTGATAATGGTGAGTGACTGTGACTT